CTTATCATCATTTGATACGTGAGTACATTCAGAGCATCCTCTGAATGTACACATTAACTTAATCAGTAAAAGAAACATCCAGCCATATTGCTATTGAAATGTTTGGGGCAATTGTCCTTAAACAGGATGCAAATTGCTTGGTTTCCACACCTTTATAATCTATTGTATTGCAAATACAATACACTGTACATGCATAGTTTTTCATAAAGAAAGAAATTACAGGTTCAAAGGTATTACAAAGATATGCTATTACAAAAGAATTGTAATTCTTTTCAGACAACCTACAGCAGGGGAGAGAAGTAAAGGAAATCTGAGCACAGCACATCTTTGGAGTGAGATGACTCACAAATTTTGCAGAAGGCAGATTGCAGTGTAGGCAAAAGCTGCCCTTTGAACAACCATAATTAAAATAGAATTGTAGTGTTATATTCTAGTATCATGCAATTACTGTAGATTATTTAGATTATTAAAATCCTAAACTGCTTGGCATTATTTTCTATGGCATATTTTAATATTATTTTCATAGAATCATCAAAGGGTTTGGGTTGGAAGGGACCTTTAAGATCATCTAGTTCCAACCCCTTGCTATAGGCAGGAACACCTCCCTCTAGACCATGTTGCTCAAAGCCCCATCCATCCTGGCCTTGAGTGATTCCAGGGAGGGGGCATCCACAACATCACTGTGCAATCTGTTCCAGTGTCTTGCCATTCTTACAATAAAAAATTTCTTGCTAATATCTAGTCTAAATCTACCCTCTTCCACTTAAAAATTTCAAGTCTTTTAGATGCTGTATTCTTAGTCAGGTCTACAAGACTTCCACCATTTCCATCAGCATAAGGTCCAGGCTGGGATCTGCTGGATTTACTTCTGGGGTTACAGTCTCTTTGAAGAAGATACTACATTTCTGGCACGATCCACTGAAAACAGCAACTAGTTTATGCTCTTACAACAGAGCTCTAAAATGGTGGAGAAATACAGGATTGAGAAGTGTCATAATTCCATTTCCTAGTGCTAAGTTTTCCTTTAGGGGCAGAACAGAAAATCTGGAGTGCAATGGAGATGAGGCTTAAAACTTAATGGCTTGGCTGCTGTTAAGGCTCCCTGCAGGGGCAGTTCTTTGCCTAAGTACATCCAGGAACTAGATGCATTGGGCTTTGGAAAATTGCAGTGAGGTCAGGCTGGGTGATGGCGTGCCACGGTGGGAGATCAGGGCTAGCTGTTGTTAGCAGATGTGGCAGCCAGTGTTGTCCTGTCTGTGCATGGAACATCACTGATGCTTTTCAAACTGTGAGTCAGTGGTCTGTAGAAGAGGGGCAGATGATTTAAATAAGTTTCTAGGCATATGATAGTTGTGTCAGGTCAACACTGATGCTGGACCTTCAGTTTCTAGACTCTCCTCTCATTGTAGGAGCTATGTGATGACAGCTGGCAGTCCTCTCTAAAAAGAGCTGCTACTAATGGCTGGAGAACAGTAAAGCATTATTTCTGTTGAATTCAACAGCAAAATTCCCAATTATGCTGAGTAAGCCAGGTTTACACTTTGGCCCTGGGGATCTTCAGCGATGTTACCCATCACGTCAGTGCAGGCAGTGCTGCCTACAGAACATCCGTGCCATGAGCCAACCTAAATCTCTCTTCCCCCCAAAATAGCTCTGAACAAATCTATAATTATATTTAAATGCAAAGACAAATACATAGGTACCTAGAATGAATGCCAGTTTTGTTTTATAGAAGCAGGAAACACTGACTAGCAAAGTTCAGTGCCTGCTCTAGGACACAGCACACAAGTGCCAATCGAGGAGGTTTACCAGTAGGTGGTGATATTTAATTATTTATTAGTAATTTTCTAGCACTACAAGCAGCTGTACTCAGGGATTTCTAAATTTCTTGTTTATGCTTTCCTTTCATATTGCTGCAGCTTTCTGAAATTCTTTTTATATGTTTCAGTAGCATTTCCTAGCTGTGATGGCACCTCCAGGCTGCACTGTGTCAGCCTGCATTGCTCTGCCAATTGCTGCTGTGCTGCTGTGCTGCATTTTGTGCAGTTTCTTTATTTTCTATCTGCTGGTGAAAACTATTAACCCAGATCTCACATCACACTCAAGGGAAAAAAACTCAACTGTTTTTTTAATAGGGTGTACCTCTTATTGACTTCCACTGAATAAAGAGGCTTTAGTTCACTGTGTACAGCATTGCTATTTACAGGCAACTGCACTCAGCAGCCTTCTGTAACTCAGTCACACCCTTCTGTGCTTCAGTACCCCTGAGTTATGAAGCCATCAGCAACCCTGGGAAAAAAAAAAAAACGATTAACCTTAGCTTGGCCTGTCAATTATTGTCTATTTAAGTACCGTGTGTGGGTCATGACTAATTAAAACCATAGAGCTGCAATATAAGAGATGAAGCTGGTTAGGTGGATAGCTCCATGCAGCTGTACCAAGCAAGCCAGGAGGCTCTCTTAGGCTTCAGGAATCACAGCAGTTCCTCTCCAGATGTGAAGCTGAGCCTGTTTGCTTCATGGGAGCAGCACTGAATCCATGGAGTGAGTCCATGACCAAAAATACTTCACAGCCTGGAACAGAGGTGACAGAAAGGGTGCTCCTGGTAGCCACTGCGCACACTGGGCAATTGTTAAAATGTTTTCCATTTTCCTTTAACTACCATCAAATGCACTGTTCAGTTTTTCCTATGTTTGTAAAGCAGCCAAAACAGGCATAAGCGGTGCTTTATTTGTGTTGGTGTCATTGGCCCAAGAGGGCTATAATAGTTATTTATCAACAGTGCTGCAACCGAAAGGTTTCTTAAATGGAAAAGAAGGAGCACATTTAATTTTTCTAAGGAAGAAAAAGAAAAAAATGCAATTATTTAAAATAGGCCGCAAAGCAAGTCCTGTTCTCTGCCTAAACATGGTTGCACTTTTAATACTGTTACATGAGCAAATCAAGAAAGGTTAGCAGTTTGAGAGAAATTACTCCTGTTGTGGAAGCAGGGTAATATCTGTAACTATCATCATCACACTGCAGCACAACTACCCAGATCATGAAAGGAAAAGGCATTGTGTGAGGAGCCACAGGTATCTGAATCTGGATAAACAGCATTGTGGGGTGTTAGACACAAAGCTGACAAAACTTCCTACTTTCTTGTTTAGTGGTGTTTGGAAATGAGAAGTCTGAGACCTATACATGCAGTAAGAATCAGGTGCAAACATAATAAAGTGACCATACCTGTTTAGGTTGATGAAATGACAGTTTGTAGTCAAAGATGACACTCAGAACTGAAATTTCCCCTAACAGAAACAAGCAGAAAATGTGAAGCATGAATTTTATAGAGTGACTCTGTTAAAAGAAGCTATTTTCAGCTGAGGGAATAAACTATTTTTCTAGGAAAATATAAGAAACACCTGTACTTAAAAGTAAGTGAAGTAGGAGACTGGATCTTGAGCTGACATGTGAAAGGAGGTGGCTTTCAGAGTAAGTGAGGGCAAACTTCAGTGCTGTAAAACATTTTTTTTTTTCTTTCAGCGTAGAAATTTAAAAATTGTCTCCAAAATAACAGCATTTGCTTCACTGCCTACCTCGGTTTGACACAAGGACAGTACTTCCATCTACTAGATTTGCAGCTTAATTCCTTCAGTGCTGTGCTTGACAGGGCAGACCCTGGCAAAGTATTCAAATCCTTACTGTTTTATCACACAGCTGTAGGGACCTCAACAAAAACTGAGAAAAGAGTGAGGCTGAAAAAGGAATAAAACCCAAGAGTTTTCCTCAGAAACGGATTAGACCCCACATGACCAGTGAGACATCGCTATATGCTGCTGCTCTGCCTCCTAGATGGCTCAATGCCAGGTGCTACGGGCAAGCCAAAATTGGAACATTCACTGTAAAGGAAAAAGTTTAATTTTAAGCAGTTAAAATAACATCACGATAGAAATAACATAGCTGTGCCCTTTTTTTTTTCCAATGGTCATCCAACAACTTTCATTATGGCATTTGTTCATTTCAGTTAAAAAGCAGCATAGCTTCCATTAGTTTTTCCTTAATTTTCTTGAAGACTTTAGACAAAGCACAAGAGGAAATTTCTATTTAATGATTACTACATTCATCCTGGATTATCCTTTTATCCTTTTTGAGCACCAGAAGTGCTCTCCTACTCCCCACAGCTTAGCCTTGAGGGAAAGCAGCAGGGAGAAGCCAGACATATTCTCTACCAAATAGGAGCATGTCCATGAGCGCTCCTACTGCTGACCTTTGGGCAGCTGGAATGCCCCCGGCAGTTACTTCATGCCTGGATTATCTCCAGCCTAGAGCTAGCAGACTTTTTGCTCCAGTCTCTGTTCTTTGTAGTAGGTCCCCCACTACATGCAGTCCTATTTCCCACCCAATTTTTCTTGACTCCTTTCCTTCCCTTTGCCATCTAGGTCACTTTTCTTTTGAGTTAACAAGATATGTCTCTCACGTTGTTCTCGTAGCCACTCTGCATTGGCTGTACTGGAAGTGGCTTCAGGAGAAAAATATACTTCCACAGCACATGTCACAATGGGGATCTGCTCTTGGGGTGTCCTAATTAATGGTAATATTGAAGAATAAATAGCCAAGAAATTATCATAGCTAGTGTGATTCATCATTCATGGTTTATTGTATTCTGTACACATATGCCTCGTGATCCTGCTGAAACACATTCTGCTGCTTGCTGCTGCTCTACTAATAGCAATGCAATTCATGGCTTTCTTCCCATGCAAATTTGTTTTTTGGGATCTTCTCCCAGATCTCTCTGCCCCAAGCCTTTTGACTGCACTTCCCCCCCTAACTAATTAGGGAAAGGAGATTTAGGTTGGACATCAGGGGGAAATTCTTTACAGAGAGAGTGGTGAGGTACTGGAACAGGCTGCCCAGAGAGGTTGTGGATGCCCCATCCCTGGAAGTGTTCAAGGCCAGATTGGATGGGGCCCTGGGCAGCCTGGTCTAGCATTAAATGTGGAGGTTGGTGGCCCTGCATGTGGCAGGGCGTTGGACATTCATGATCCTTGAGGTCCCTTCCAACCCTGGCCATTCTGTGATTCTGTGATTAAGTCATACTACAGGTAGAATTTAGTCAACTCTTGAATGGAATGTCCCATCCTGTCACTTGCGAAGGTTCTCTTGCCAAGATGCTGGAGAATGGCATACATATTGTGCAGACACAGATGATACATCTCAATTTGTAATCTTTTCAGCTCATAATGATAGAAGTGAGCAAGGGAAAGGCTTGAAGCCTGGGAGTTATGAAATTGAAAGGATTTTGAGTTTTAAAATGGAAAGGTATGGATTCGATAGCATTCAGAGCAGTATACAACATGAGTAGATGAAGTTTCCGAGCAATTTCTTTTTATCTGAGTAGTGGAACAACTCCAGGATTCGTGATAACTGATAAAAGCAAATATCAGAACAAAAGTGGCTGGTGCCCAGAAGGAGCTCTCCAATTCTCCCTCCCATCCTCATCTGGAGAGAATGAGTGAGCAGCTGGGTGGTGCTGAGCTCCCTGCCAGGATTAAACCACTACAGTCCTTTTTGGTGGCCAATGTGGGGCATGAAGGGTTTGAGATAGCAACGGATTTGATTGGTGTGTGAAGTGTGTTAGATCAAATTTAGAGATACTATAGCAGGTTAGCTGCTAATTGGCAAGCTCCTCCACTTGTCATGCAACATGTTTGCTTTACTGTATGTTATGGACCAGTGCTTGTTAGTGGCAGATTTGGCTTCTGCCTTATCATCGACTCCTTATCATGTTGCTTTCTCTGCCTGGGAACATTTTGATAACAGCCAAGGCCATAAGCCTGGGCTGGCAGATGGCTGGGTCATCACTGCTGTCCCTGTGCTGTTGCACTGGACAGGCTGGGACTCCAGACTGAGCTGAACTCAAAGGGACTGCCTGCAGATGAGCCCACATGGGAGCATGTATGACCCAAAGCATTTTTGGCCACAGATAAGTCCACTCTGAAGCAAGCATACCTCAAATTGTCTGTGGCTATGGAGAAATTCATGCTGCAGCAGGTACACACCTTGCAAAGCCTATAGAATATCTGGGAATAAAGCCATACCAGAATACCACAGAGTGTCTGTGACCGTGGATAAGACCACAACACAGCAGGTGTTCAGAAGGACTGTGGCCACTGGAAAAGACTGTGCCAGGTACACCTCAAAGCAACTATGGCTGTGAGTAAGTCCATGCTGCAGCGGATATATCAACCCAGGAATTCTCATTTTCTAACTCTCTCACTTATTCCACTTGGGCAGAGAGAACAAATGGCTGTGTGGTAATTAGTTGCCCACTGGAGTTAGACCACAGCAAGTGGAGAATTAGAAAGGTCTTAGCAATGTATGGACAAGCTATCACAGAGTCACAGAATTACTGAGGTTTGAAGGCACCTCAGGGTTTATCTGGCCCAACCCTCACTCGAGCAGGGACACCCAGAGCAGGGTGCACAGGCTCATATCCAGGCAGCTGCTGAAGATCTCCAAGGAAGAGACTCCACAGCCTCTGGCCAGAGGTGCTCCATACCGGTGCTCCATCACCCGCACATCACAGAAGTGCTGTCTAGTATTCAGAGGGAACTTCCGTCTTCCAATTTGTGCCTATTGTCCTGGCACTGGGCACCACTGAAATGAGCCTGGATCCATCCTCTCTGCAGCTCCCCATCAGGTATTTACAGACACTGATGAACCTCCTGTTCTCCAGGCTGAAAAGGCCCAGCTCAGTGTCAGCCTTTCCTCACAGGAGAGGTGCTCCACTTTCTTGATCTATGGCAGAACTCAGAACAGATAAAGTGGTTACATATGGATATATTTAAACAGAAAGAAGTCAATCAAAGGAAATTAAGAAAAGAAAAAAGTCTTGGTTGACCTGGGCGCTGAAAATTCAATACATTCCTCAAAGTTTCTCTGATACAGGATCAGAGGTCATATTCCAAAGCTGTTAAATTGGCTGAATTGGTGCTGTGCAGCTTGAGGCAAGGGCAGAAAGCAGAAGAATTAACTGGAAAGGTAAAAGGCAATTTGGAGATCCAAAGACACAGAGGGGAAAAAAAAAAAAAAGCAAAAAAAAAAGCAGTGTAATGATCTAAATCTGTTTTCTTTTCCCTTGCTCCGCATTACATAAAATGTATTTCATTCTTTCTAGTAGAGAAACGTGGTTAGAGGAATAAGTCCATCCTTATACCCACAGCTGAATCTCTCCCACTCCCTCTTGCAGCAGCGCACTGCAGCCAGGTAAATTCACACAAAGGAAAAAGGAGAGAATGGGCAGGCTGGCAGCCAAGGGACATCATGAACTGCAGCCACCATTTACTCAGCCTGACTCCACTGAACATCTGTCAGCAGCCATTTAATTTATTGCTAAACTTGAACTATAGACTGTAATTGGTAAATCTGCAGGATAGATGAAAACACACCTAAGAGACCTTCAAATTATCAACTATTACAGCTGTTTGATTACTTTGGAACAACTTCTGATACCTGATATCAACTCAAGGCCGTGTCTGCAACTGTCCACATCAGTCCAGTGAAGAGCTCTGCTGAAAGATGTCAGAGCAGAGACAAAGCAGGCTTCGTCCAGAAATGGTTAATCAATAGCTTGCTAGGTTGACTGAGTGCCATTAAATGCAGTGGTGCATCTACCGTATATAAAATGTGACCGGTCATTCCGTATCATTCTCAGTCACCTTTTCTGCTATAGTGTTAGTTAGCAGGTTTTCCATTTGGAAGTTTTGGGGCACTACCAGAAATGTTCATAACACCATGGATCTGGGGAACAGTGATAATAATCTGTTGCAGTTTTTGGTTTCTTTTTGGGAGGAGGAGGAGGAGGTAAGGAATCCATTTGTAAATGCATCTTAGTATATACCTGTTCTTTGCTTCTTTCAAACATGCTGTGCATGTGACTAAAATGAGTGTAATCTGAAGATTATCAAATGGATAAATGTGGGTGGATAAATGCAGGTAACATGGGAAACACTGTAGTTACATCTTTTGAGAGACTTATGTGACAATAGAATTTGTACAGACTTTTAATAATAGTGAGTGAGTTCTTTGAGATAGATGCCGATAGAAATCTATGCACAAATGAGCTAATTAAAATATTAATATGTGTGTTCTGTTTTGCTAAAGCACTGGGCTTAGTGTACTCTAATCTTAGCTAATCAGCTAATACCTGTTTTTATCTACCTAGTTTAATACCCACTTATAAACATTTCCTATTATCAATCTATCCTGTGTGGTTACACAGAGCAAGTTATTTGCTTATCAATATATAAAGGGGAGCTACAAGAAAGAAGGGTACAGACTCTTTAGCATGCTCTGTAGTGATCAAACAAGGGGAAATGGCTTCAAACTTAAAGAGGGGAGATTTAGGTTGGATATAACAAAAAGTCTTTTACAGTGAGGGTGCAGAGGCACTGGCACAGGTGGCCCAGAGATGTGGTGGGTACCCCATCCTTGGAGACTTTCAAGGTCAGGCTGGATGGGGCTCTGAGCATCCTGATGTAGCTGTAGGTTTCCCTGCTCAATGCAGGGGAGTTGGACTAGATGACCTTTAAAGGTCCCTTTCAACTGAGGATTCTATGATTCTGTTACAATTTTGTATTTTTCAGCAATCATTTTCTTGTTTTACTATTAAAAGTTCAACAAAAAAAGTAAAAATATTTAACCTCATATAATGATAACCATCAAGAACATACTAGAGGAAAAGAGTTATCTGAAAGTTTTTTAGCAGCCATGGTGACTTTCTGCAGGAAAGTAATTTTCTGTCTGTCAGAATAAAAAACATCATTTAAACATGTGCTTCATTTTAAGCATATGCTTAACATAAGGCATGGGCTTAATGACAATTTGCCTGAAAGACTAAATCTTATGCTTAGTGAAGATCATGGCAAATTTCCCACTGTTTTCAGTGGGATTGAGTCCAAGTGAGATATGCCAATAATAACAACCTTTCTACACTCAAAAGGCAATTCCCCTTGGTGTTCAAATTGATTTGTGGATATCATTACGTTTCAGACAATATTAGTGGAAAGCATTTATGAGACAATTATGCATCTGTGCATGTTAGCTAGAGGCAATAATGTCACATTTAAACAGGTAAAAACAAACAAATTTAGGGAAAAGTGAGATAGTGAATCTGTGTTCTGTCATGCTTATTGTAATGGAGACTGTTATTCTTTTTTGACTAACATACACTTCACAATTGGCTTACTCTTCAGAAGGGCAAGAAATTACTTGTCAACAGCAACAGAAATTAAGTATTAAAACTCTCCCATCACCATCTTACTTGGTAGTTTTGGAGAAGTGATCTTGATACATACTTCTAAACTCAGCTTTTTGTTTTGTAGGCGCCAAGGAGAGCCACCACTTGAAAATGGGTTTCTTCCATACCTGGGCTGTGCCTTGCAGTTTGGTGCCAACCCCCTCGAATTCCTCAGGGAAAAACGGAAGAAGCATGGCCACATTTTCACTTGCCAAGTAGCAGGGAAATATATTCATTTCCTCACTGACCCGTTTTCATATCACTCGCTGATGCGCCAGGGAAAACACTTGGACTGGAAAAAGTTCCATTTTGCTACTTCTGCCAAGGTACCACTTTAAAAATGGTTTTAATATCTAACGTGCTGGCAGGACAGATAGTGCTTAGTTAATCCCTGTAGCATAACTATTAATTTGAAATATAATTTTCACTTTTCTGCACTTTTATTTGTATAAAATCTTGAGGGTTTTTTTTTTTCTTTTTTTTCCTTAATGGAAAGAAAATTTACAGTGATTTGGATTATCCAAGAAATACATTTAGCAAGGCAGTATCCCGAATTGCTATAGGAGAAACACAGTTAGAACCTTCTGCCAAATTATATGTAGTTTGCTGAAGCTTAAGCTTTCTTCAGGAGATTCTTATCACTATGGAAGATTTGGTCCTACTATCTCAACATGAGATGCAACACAGTAGAGGGTCTATCAAACTTTTACTGAAGTAAGCAACAGGCTCCTTTTGATGTCAGTGGGAGCTGAAAGATGCTTTATGTAACCACATCCATTTATCTGTGAGCATCTGTTCACTTTTATTTTCATTTGCCTACTTAGCTGCTTTGGTTCTAGTATTCGTAGTCCATATGATGCTTCCCAATGGTTAGCTATGATGTGTTTTGGCTTTAATTTCTGCAGTCCTTATCATACTTTCCTCTAGTAAGCTGTGAATTTATACTTTGGCTTTAATTTCTATTAGGCTTTATTATCAAGGTCATGGCAGGTCTTATTTATCATGCACATAATTTATTTTGTAACAGGCTTTTGGGCATGGTAGCATTGACCCTGCAGAAGGAAACACCACTGAAAATTTTCATCATACTTTCATTAGAACACTTCAAGGTAATGCCTTAGATGCCCTCATCGAAGCAATGATGGAAAATCTACAATACGTCATGCTGCAGTCAAAAGCACCTAAATTTCAGCCTAACACCTGGGTTACAGAAGGACTTTACACATTCTGTTGCCAGGTGATGTTTGAATCTGGCTTTTTAACACTTTTTGGTAAAGAATTTAATCCAAATCACGACAAAAATCTGTCAAAGCGGGAAACAGAGAGAGCTCGTATCCTGAATGCCCTTGAAAACTTCAAGGAATTTGATAGGATCTTCCCAGCCCTTGTGGCAGGGCTGCCTATCCATCTATTCAAGAGTGCCCACAGTGCCCGTGAGAAGCTGGGAGAGGCTCTGCTCCACAAGAACCTCCTGAAAAGGGACAACCTCTCCGAGCTCGTCATGCTCCGCATGTTTCTTAATGACACTCTGTCAACCTTTGATGACATGGAAAAAGCAAAGACACACGTGGCAGTGCTCTGGGCCTCACAAGCTAACACCATTCCTGCCACTTTCTGGAGCTTGTTCTACCTTCTTAAGTAAGTCCCAGCATTTCTTGCTTCCAAATGAGAAGAATAATATTTATTGTCTTTCAGAAGCCAGTTCATTACTATGGACAAATTTTGCTGCTTCAGCCAATAATAGCACAAGTGACAAGCTGTTCTGGACTTCTGCAGAAAACTCCCTCACTTGTCTCAGACCAAGCAGTGGTGGTACCACTGGTGGCAATTCCATAGATGCTTTTTCAAAAAATACTACTCTGGGGCAATACTTTGAATCCTAGCAGTAAAAAGTAAAATGTAATACGCTTTGTAAAAAAAGTTTTGGAGTAAGCCTATACGATATGACATTAAAAGTGCTGGTTGCAGTCAGAATACTAATTGTATTGAAGGCTCTCCCAGTATAATCAGATCTTTTTAGATCATCTCTCTAGAGCAGGCAAAACGAGCTTTAACTTCGTTGTTGTTTTAATAGATATTTAATAGAAAATAGTTTATATGTTGATATACTACTGAGGTTACAGTAGTCATGCAGCAATACTGAAATGGCACTTCCCTGCTGCTTTCTTCACCCTCACTGCAACAGTGCTTTTGTATTTGAGGATAAAGCCATTGTGGCAGCATGAAGAGTGATCATCAAAATATTGTACAAGTAATGCATGATGTTTTAAACCAGAGATTTGAGATTCACCTGAGATATGTCTGAATTCCTTGAGAGAAGGATGGGTATTCAAACCCCAAGTGATTCAGGATTCTTACATCTCTTTTCCTAAACTTCCAGGTTAGACTTTCCAATATAGTATTTTCCTAAGTTTAGATAGCTGCAGTGTAAATGGCATCTGCTGAGCTTGTAACTCGTGAGAGGAGTGCACAGTTCAGATAAAACAATTAAATGTCCATTTTGGAATGAATCTAAACTTGCATAATCTAGCCCTACATGTCTACCTCTTGAGTATTCATCTAAATTTCTGTCTTGTATTTTCATATCTACCCACTGATGCTAATAATGGAAGTTTTTTGGTACTTTTCATTCCATGAATGCACTGGCTTAAATCTCCTGGCCTTGAAGTCATTTAATGCCCCAATTATGCATTCATAACAATGATACTGTCACATTCTGTATTATTATCTATACATATTTCACCATAGCTTATAGATAGATATTCTATAACAAAATCTAGACAGTAGAGGATACTATGTCTTTTAGTATTAAGAATTTTTTAGACATAACACATTGCCATAGGATTGGACATCAGTAGGAAAGTGATGTTATAAAACTGATCTATGATCCCCTTCCTAAATCTTGTAGCCGCTGTAGGGCTCCTTCCTAATCTATGACTGATTGTTTCTGATTTCTTATTCCTGGTATTGCTTTTTCGTGACATCACTGTTTATTGCCTATGTTACGCACATTAGTTCTGTCCCATTGTCATTGGAGACAGAATCAAATAGTGTTTTTTCTCCTTTTTTGCAGCTATTGCGTCTTTGCCAAGACGTCAAGCAGTGTGATGGCATAAATAGATTTTGTTGCAACATTGCCATGTTAGAAGTTTTTTCAGCTAACAAACTACATTTTAGTCAGGACAAAAACGAATGGCAAAACCTGTTTTTATACCACTCCTAAGACTACTTTACACTTCTTTTTTTTTATTTTAGGAATCCAGAAGCAATGAGAGCTGCTACCGAAGAAGTGCAAAGTATTTTGGAAAGTGCTGGAGAGAAGATTAGCTTAGATGGCAACTATATTTCACTGAACCGAAAACAGTTGGATAATATGCCAGTGCTAGGTATGACTATTTCATTCAGGAGTACCAGAAATTGCCCCACAGTTTTCAATATCTTCTATTAGTTCCCAAAATAATACTTGCTATGGGATTACTATTAACCAACCAAAAACAGAACAAACATCTATTTGTTCCTTATCAGTGGCTAACTATCATTCTTACCAGAATCAGAACTGGTCCTGGGAATATTACTTCACATGAATAGCACTTTTTCATGGGTAAAGGGATGTCCGAATACTGCTACACAACTACATAGCATTGGACACCCATGGGTAATTCAAAACAATACTTTGTCTACTTAAGATCAAATAAAAAAGGTGTTGTCAAATTTTATATCCCATTACGGAAGGTTATTTTTTCAGTTTTGCCTTAACCTCAGTATAAAAGCATGTTTTACTTTCAAATATTATGTTGCATCAGCTATAAATATTTTTCAATGGAAAGAAGATTATGTTCTCAGACTAATCTGCAGAAAGGATAAAAATGCCAACAAAAAATGAAGAAGATACTTTCTTAGGCATTTGTAAAGTTTTGTTAAATTATTTCTCATAACAGGACCTGATGATGGATTTGAACAGTTCAAAATACATAAGCTCCCCCATGGACATATACATACTGTTTCTATGGTAACCATTTCTTTTCCTCTGCCTATAGATAGCATCATCAAGGAGGCAATGAGGCTATCGAGCGCATCCATGACTTTCCGAGTTGCTAAGGAGGATTTCACTCTGCATTTAGAGAACAGCTTTTACAACATTCGCAAGGATGATATTGTAGCTCTTTATCCTCAACTGTTGCATTTTGATCCAGAAATCTATGCTGACCCCTTGGTAAGTATTTATCATAGTGCATTACATTCTGAGCTCGGGCAGAAGCTAACATGCCATTCAACAGATCATTTATCAGGAGCGCCCCACAACTGATTCACTGTTACACTCCAGACAGTCTGTTCTTAATGCATGAATACTCAAAGATGGGCAAGAGAAAAAGTAAAGCCAGTGCAAGCACTGTCTATCTGAAGAACATGATTTGCTATAACCAAAAACTGGGCTGGAAACCCAAGAGAGCCTTCTGCTTTTTGCTTTCTTCAATAAGAAGAGGTCATCATTGTGGGGAGATCAAGGGAGGACAAGGGTAGTATTTTCCCAAAGATATGGAATGATCAGTGTTCAAATTCTGATGCAAGTTGTAATGCTTATTTTAATGGGTCAGAAAAGAAAAATTATCAAAAAGAATTACTAGTTCAACTCTAGCAAAGGTCCTGAGATTATACTGTCCCACAGGCCAGAATTTCTCAGGGGCTACACATTCCAAATAGCAGAAAAATTGTCTTGTACAACACTGCCAGAAGCAATTCCCTCCCAGACTGCATTTTGTGTCTTAATAGCATCACCCAAACCTTGGAGGTATTCAGATATCAAGTAACTCTTCTGTGGGTTTTATTGCAGACATTCAAATACAATCGCTATCTCAATGAGAATAAAGAAGAGAAGACTGACTTCTACCGCAACGGTCGCAAGTTGAAGTATTATTATATGCCATTTGGGGCAGGAATAGCAAAATGCCCTGGCAGGTTATTTGCTGTCCATGAAATTAAACAATTTTTGGTTTTAATATTTTCATATTTTGAGATAGATCTTGTTGACAGTAACGTGCAGTGTCCATCTTTAGATCAATCCCGTGCAGGACTGGGTATTTTGCAACCATCCAATGACATTGACTTCAGGTACAGACTAAAATGTCTATGAATACAGATATTACTAAATCTATAAACTATGTACAGTATAAATACACTATCTAACCTACACTTTGTATATATATTATATATATTTGCAAATGAAACATTGCAAATATCAGTGGAAAAATCTAAAGGAAGATGCTACTTCATCAGCCTAATAGAAAATATATTATGTATGCCATATGGTAGCAGCAAACAGTGGGTTTAATGCATGATGTCGATACAAAAGTTTCCCCTTTTATCAGCCATTCTAAAATGCAACTAGTAGTTTTGAACTGTGTTTATACAGTAGTTTTGGGGGGTTTCTTTTGGCCAGAAAATACTTTTTCAGTATCCCATTTTTCTAATATAATTAGAAGTTTACCAGATTGTTCAAAATTGTATAAATTCAACAGGAAGTTAAAACTTATTCTTTTTTATAGCTGAAATGTTGGGGATGGAAGGTTTCCCTCAGGGGTGAAGTAAAATTTTTATTGTGTAAAAGCAGTGGAAGGAAAGAGTTTCCTGGTAAAGTACCTTTATGTTTTTATGAAGAACTAGAAAGAGTTGAATAAAATCTACAAAAATTTTCACGTTCTAGTGAAATTACAAAACCTGTATTATATTCACTGTAATATATTTCTTTTCAGAACGTTGTAAATCTATTAAAATAAATGATTTTATGTGTACTGAGTGCCTCTCTACATTATTGGTTTTAGTGTCTTAATGTTCTCAAAGGTTTACATGCTTATCTCATGCCAACTGAGCCACCTTTACACTAGCCAGCTAAAAGAATAGAATCATACAATATCTCAAGTTGGAAGGGATTCATAACCATCATAGAATCATAGAATGGTTTGAGTTGGAGGGAACTTTAAAGTTCCAACCCCCCTGGACAGAGTAGCCAACCACTAGATCAGGCACCACGTTGCCCAGGATCATTGAGTGCAACTCCTGGCTCCACGGACAGGATCACCCAAAATTTAAATCCTATGTCGGAGAGCATTGTCCAAACAATCCTTGCATTCTGGAAGCTCAGGGCTTTGACTGCTGCCCTGGGCACCTTGTTCCATGCCCAACACCTCCTGGTGAAGAACCTTTCAGTCACTCCCAGCCTGAACCTCCCCTAACATAACCCCATGCCATTCTCTCAGTCTCTGTCACCCTAGAGCAGAGTCCAGTGCTGCCCCTCTGCTCCTCTCACGAGAGGCTGTAGGCCACCATGACACCTCCTCTCAGTCTTCTCTAGACAAACAAGCCAAGTAACCTCAGCTGCTCCTCATGTGTCTTAATCTCTCCCCATCATCACTGCCAATATGGAGATAAAGAAACTGCAACAAATGCTTGTGGTTGGATTGTGCACCCTTCTCTAAATTCCATATTTCCATAGGCCACCATAAGTCATACTCTATAGATGTTCCTAGTACAGTTCCTTTAAAGCTATCATGGCCCATGTATTTCATTTTCAGTGGTAGCACGCCTGTAAGAAAACAGAATCACAGAATGGCCAGGGTTGGAAGGGACCTCAAGGATCATGAATCTCCAACGCCCTGCCACATGCAGGGCCACCAACC